ATTTAGCTTCCATGTGTTTGTATTTTTTTCCAGTCCTTTTCTTATAATTTCTAGTTTCATACCATTGGGGTTGGAAAATAGAGATGCTTGATAAGATTTCAATGTTCCTAAATTTATTGGGACCTGCTTTGTGACCTCACACATCTATCCTGGAGAATGTTCCATGGACCCTTGAAAAGAATGTGTATTGTGTTGTTTTGGGGTGGAATTTTCTGTGTATATCTTTTTTTTTTTTTAAGATTTTATTTATTTATGAGAGAGACCGTGAGAGAGGGAACACAAGCAGGGGGAGTGGGAGAGGGAGAAGCAGGCTTCCCGCAGAGCAGGGAGCCCGATGCAGGGCTCTATCCCAGGACCCTGGGATCATGACCTGGGCTGAAGGCAGACGCTTAACGACTGAGCCACCCAGGTGCCCGTTTTCTGTGTATATCTTAAGTCCATCTGGTCTAATGTGTCATTCAAAGCCATTGCTTCTTTATTGATTTTTCTACTTGGATTATCTATCCATTGATATAAGTGGGGTGTTAAAGTCCCTTACTATTATTGTATTATTGTCAGTATCTCCTTTTATGTCTTCAAATATTTGCTTTATGTATTTGGGTGCTCAAATGTTGGATGCATAGATAGGTACAATCATTATTACTGGATTGATCCATTTATCATTATTTAGTGCTCTTGTTGTCTTTTGATACAGTTTTGTTTTAAAGTCTACTTTGTCTTGGGGCGCCTGGGTGGCTCAGTTGGTTAACCGGCTGCCTTTGGCTCAGGTCACGATTCTGGGGTCCTGGGATTGAGCCCCACGTCCAGCTCCCTGCTCAGCGGAGAACCTGCTTCTCCCTCTCCCTCTGCCTGCCACTCTGTCTACTTGTGCTCTCTCTCTGTCAAATAAATAAAATTTTTTTTAAAAAGTCTATTTTGTCTAATATAAGTACTGCTATGTCAGCTTTTTTTTTTTTTTCACTTCCAGTTTGCATGGAATGTTTTTTTCTGTCCTTTCTCTTTTAGATTGTATGTGTCTTTAGGTCTATAGTGAGTCTCTTATGGGTAGCATATAGTTGGGGCTTGGTTTTCATCCATTCAGTTAACTTACACTTTTTGATTACATCATTTAGCTCATTTACTTTGAAAGTAATTATTGATAGTTATGTATTATGTATTATTGATAGTTATGTATCTTATTGTTTTCTGGTTGTTTATGTACTTCTCTGTTCTTCTTTGATTGATAACTTTATAGTCTTATGCTTGGCTTTTTTCCTCTTTTTTTTTATGTATCCATTATAGGTTTTTGGTTTGTGGTTATGATGACATATATAACATCCTAAATGTATAGCAACTATAACATATTAAGTGGGTGGTCACTTAAGCTTCAACACATTCTAAAAGAACATTTTTACTCTCCCCTCCACAGTTCATGTATATGTTGTCATATTTTACATCTTTTTATTTTGAGTCCCCTTTTCTTTCTTTTTCTCTTTATGGCCTTTTGTTTTCTACTTAAAGAAGTTCCTTTAGCATTTCTTTTCAGGTAAGTTTAGTGGTGATGAACTCTCTTTTTTTTTTTTTTTTTAATTCTTATTTGGGTTTAAATAACAAACAATATTACATTAGTTTTAGGTGTACAACATAGTGATTCAGCATCTCTGTATGTTTTTATTTTTTTTATTATGTTAATCACCATACATTACATCATTAGTTTTTGATGTAGTGTTCCATGATTCATTGTTTGTGCATAACACCCAGTGCTCCATGCAGGATGTGCTGTTTTGACTTGTGTTTGGAAAACACTTTCTCTCTCTAATTCTGAATGATGATCTGGTTGGATAGAATATTCTTAGTTACAGGTTTTGTTTTGTTTGTCTGTTTGTTTTCCTTTTAGCGCTTTGACTATATCATGCCACTCATTTTTGGCCTGCCAAGTTTCTGTTAACGCTATCAGCTGATGTTTTTGTTTTGTTTTGTTTTGTTTTTTATGGGGATTCCCTTGTGCATAACAGTTGCCTCTCGCTGCTTTTAAAATTCTCTTTATCTTTAATCTTTGCCACTTTCATTATTGTGTGTCATGGTGTGGACCTCCTTGGGTTCATCTTTTGTGCTTCCTGAACCTGGACATCTCTTCTTCCCCAGGTTAGGAAAATTTTTACCTACTACTTCTTCAAATAAGTTTTCTGCCCTTAGTCTCTTTTCTCCTTCTGGGATCCCATATAATACATATGTTTGTTTACATGATGTTGTCCAAAAGATCCCTTAATCTATTCTCAGTTTTTTTTCCTTGTGTCTTTTTGCTATTCAGTTTGGTCACTTTCTGTTGCCCAGTCTTCCAGATCACTGATTCATTCTTTTGCATCCTCTAATTTTCTATTGATTCCCTTTAGAGTACGTTTCATATCAGTTATTGTATTATTCAACTCTGATTATTATTTTTTATGTTTATTTCTTTGAAGTTCTGCTTGAGTTCTTCCACTCCTCTCTCTAGTCTGGTGAGCATCTTAATGACCATTACTTTCAATTCTTTATCAAGCATATTGCATATTTCCATATCACTTAGTTCATTTCCTGAGGTTTTGCCTTGTTTTTCCATTTGGAACATACTTTCTGTCTCCCCATTTTGCTTGACTTTGTTTTTGTTTGTATGAATTCAGCAGAACAGCTACTTTACCTAAACTAGAGGTATGTCTGATGACTTTGGCTGGCTGATGAGCTGTGGCTGTTGTGGGCTGGAGGTCCAGGGAGTCTCCAGGCTGGGACTATCCTAGCAGGATAGCTGAACTGAAGTGGATGCAAGCTTGGGTGTCCCAGGGCACTCTGCACAGGGGGCACCCTAGTGGGATGACTGGAGCCTATGTGGGCATGGGCTGTGTGTCCCAGGGTATTCCGCACCAAGGCATCCTGGCACAGTGGCTGGAGCTGAGGTGGAAGTGGGCCAGGTGTTCCCAAAGCACTCCATGTAGGGGTCGCCCTGCCAAGTTATGTGGAGCCTAAGTGGTGCAGATCTGGAGTGTTTTGGGGTGCTTTGTACCTATGCCACCTTGGTAAGATGACTGGAGCTACAGTGAGTGATGACCAGGCGTGTCTCAGTATGGGCTACCCTGGGGCCTCCTTGATGAGACAGCTAGTGTTGGTTAGGGGCAAGAGGCTCACTGAGGCAGTAGGCCAGCTATGATGCCTGGATCCTATTATTGTCCACACAATCAAGATGGAAGGAGAACATAAACTGTGGCACTCGCCAGGCCCTCCAACTTGGAAAGAGTTCCAGCAGCCCTCCCACTGTTTGGCAGAGATCTAGGGCTGGATCCTTTATATTCTAGTTGCTCTTTTAAACTGTGGCTTTTTTCTGTGCCCCCAGGGCATCTGGGGCTGGTGTAGACTAGGAGCCCAGGAGTTGCTGAGGTGGCAGGCTGGCTAAGATGCCTGGACCCTGCTCCTGTCTGCAGGATGGAGGATGCTAGCAAGCCTCTCCAACCTGGAGAGAGTTCTAGCAGCTCTCTATTTGGCGGGGTTCTAAGGCTGTTTTCTTTTAATTCTAGTTGCTTTTTTAAACCATGTTTGTTTGTTTCTGTGCCCTAGATAGACAAACCTGCCCATGGTCCCTCAGTACTATCTTTTCCCACTGTAGGTCACAGCATTGGGCGTGGGCGTTTCTTTAGTTACTGTGTCACATCTGTCTTGCCATTCTCTACATGGTCTCTTGTTGTGCAGAAGTTGTTCAATCAGCTCACAGTTCTTTGGGAGGAATTGCTATATAACTAGGTGTAGATTTGGTGTGTCCACAGAGGTGAGTTCAGGGTCTTTTTATGCCACCATATTGGGCCAAACTCTCAATCTCCTTTTTGATCATCTCAAAATCAACTAATTTGACGTATTATTATATTGGCAAATTCCCTTCCTTTTTGCTGTGTACCCCATAACCTAATCATGGGAGTGGAATCCTATTATATTCAAAGGTCCTGCCCAAACTCAAAGGGTTGAAATTATACAGGCATGGACACCAGGGTACAGGGGATCAAATATGTTGCATTTAGTTAAAATGAATGATACAAGAGAATTAGCATTTTTTTTTAAGGAAATTGATGGCTTCAGTTTTAGATATGTTGAATTTGGAGATAATTGGGCATTCAATTAATTAGAGTGGATCAGTAGGTCTTAGAGAAGTCAGTAGTAAGATTAGAATTGGAAATACGTATTTAGTAATGATCAGTGGAGGTGATAGTTAAATAATGAGATCATCCAGAGAAAGACTGTAGCAAGAAGTGGGCTGGGACAGGAGTAAGTCCAGGTAACTAGAACATCTACCTGTGTATTTCCACTCATGTCTCTTGATTCCAGTCTAATCTCATCATGCAACTTTTCACTCTTACTGTAGTTGGTAAATAATATCCTGCTCTTCCTAATTTGTGGTCCACTCTCTGTCCTCCTCCCACTTCCAAGCCACACTACCTGGAAGTGAAAATCAGGAGCTCTCTTAGTGAAAGCCTTGCAGATCACAGATACTAAAAAAGATGTACTCTCTTATGCACCCTGATCCCAGATGGTGAGTTGTGGGAATTATAGAACACAAGGCTCAGTGAAGGAAGATGGTGCCATCATTAGCCCTGAAACACTTTATTTCTTCCTAACAGAAAACACGACTAACTGCACTTTTCTTTGCTCTTCCCTCCCAGAATTGGCTATAAAGTGTTAGATGGCACAAATTTGGAATGCAGATGTGACTATATTACCTATCTCTTAAAACCTTTCTCTGTTTATTTGAATAGAAAATCACTGAAGCCATTACAGTGATATTATTGAACAATCTGAGCTGTGACTGTATACTTTCTGTAAACAAGTAAACTTGATCAGTTCATTTTGACTAGATTTTCCTCCCTTAAATCTTTTTCTTTCAGGTTATATTCAAGAAGAATGTGTCATCCCATGCCCATTTGATTGCAAGTTAAGTGACTGGTCTAGTTGGGGGTCTTGCAGCTCGTCTTGTGGAATTGGAGTGCGAATTCGGTCCAAATGGCTAAAAGAAAAACCTTACAATGGAGGTCGCCCATGTCCCAGACTGGATCTCAAGAATCAGGTAAAGTACATGAGGCAACAACAACAAAAAGCTAAAAAATTACTCACTTGATTATTTCTTGTGGAAAATGAAGTTATTGTCTTTTCACAAGTAGCTCATAAAAAGTTATCACAAATTCAAAAGAGGGTTAAGAGGACATAAAGTAATATAACAGAAATAGAAGCCTTGCCCACTCCTAGGTAATGCAGAGACCAACTTGGTGTTGCTAGCAGTAATAATGTTTATGAGAAATAATCCAACCGATTTTATATGGTCTTGAAGTGTAACTTGATTATGCATATTATAAAAGTGATTTGTTTGTATATGTATTTAAATATAAGTACTAAAAAATACAGGAATACTAATGTTGGATGAATGTCAAGTACTTTATGGCAATAAGTATAGTTAGTGGTTTCATCCATGTACTCCAGAAATGGGGTACTCTTTTCCTTCACCAAACTCTTCATCTATTTTTTTTTTCTTCTCAACATCACCAAAGTTTCCAGTTTTTTCATGTCTTTTCTGAGCTATTTCTCTGTTTTCCCAAAGTCAAAGCTATTTGCATAAATGGAACCCTGAAGGATACCCTTCCATAGAGATGTCTAATAAAACAACCATCCTAGGCAAAATTGATTAGAGTACGTTAGTTGGCTTTACCCATATAACAGTCTAAGACTTAGTTAAGAATTTTAATAAAGACTTCAAATTTCTCCCATGATTGCATAGTGGTTATCAGATTAGGACTGATATGTATTTTTTTAATCAATTGAATAGGTAGAGCACACATGATAGTTGAAAATTCCTTATTCTTAAAGTTGTGAAGGGTGTCTTATATGTGTATATAGTTCCTTTGTGATCCTGCAGCTATTTTAACAGAATAGCTGCACAGGTTTCTATTACTGATTCTATTAATTTTCCTAAATTTTGCTAAAGGACCCATAACTCACTGAAAAGTGAGAAATTACCATTCTACCAAAAAATAGTTATGTTCTAAGATGGCAGAGTATTTTACTTTTGCTTTTTAAGGTTATGTGGTAAAATAGTGACCATAGTTTCTTCTCTCAAAGCTAATGCAAACCTGTGGAGAAAGGCAAGGCAGAAGATCATAAAATCAACATAGAGGTTGCAAAAACAAAGAAACCCCCAAAATTCCACAAGTGCGATAGTTTGGTGAAGGGAAGATTAGGATATGATTAATAAAAACAGGAGGGAGACAATCAGAGCAGAGATAGTCTAAGGAAATAAACCTTACCTTAGTACAACGAAAGGTATAAGACAGGTTTATCATTACAAGGAAAATTTTCAAGTGAATTCTATGTATGAGGACTATGTGACCCTCCCTAGGGGATTTTCCAGGCATTTAAAATGAAAAATAACTACTAAGCATTTATAAACAATGCATGGTAATTCTTATTCTTTCTCAAAACCTTCAGTGAAAGTTAAACCTTAATAACACTTATGTTAAACACCAATTTTTAATATGCTAATTTTATGAACTAGGAAATTACCAAGGGATTAAAGGGACTTCATTGGAGTGCAGACTTGAAGATTCTGTTTTCAGTATGCAAAGGCAAATGTGTAGAAGTGTGTCCATCAATTTTGAGAGTATGAATAAAGATAAAGATACTTGTCAACCTGTTGTTACTTAAAAGAAACTTTTTCAAAATGCCTGATTGACGTATAAAACTGGTAACCTTAAGAAGTAGTACAAGCTGAAAAAAATTGAACCCAACTTTAAGAATAATTTAGATAAATTCCATAAGTGAAAATTATGTGAGGATGGGGCTGTCTACAAGAGATACTTATTACGCTTGAGTTCACGAAGAGACTTTTAGCATTCCAGAGACATTTGTTTGTTAAGCTCCGAAAAGAATCCTGGGAATTAATGATGAGAAATCAAATTTGGTGTGGTGTATATTCTGCTATAAAGAGGTTTCAGATGTCTAGCATGTGTGTGGCTTAATTCAACTTGAATTGAAAAACTTCACCCTAATCCATACTTTGTATTTTAACATAAGTTAATTCATAGGTGCATTAAGTAATAAGGCTTCCCTCTCACTTCTAAGTCTGTGAATGGCAAGGGAGAATACTGTTGTAAAACAAAACAAAACAAAACAAAACAAAACCTAAATTTAGAAGAAATTCTCCTTAGAGAAATTACTTTTCTGAAGCAAGCACGCTTTTACCTGGAAGTAGATTTGTGGAAAGCAATCTTTGCTGACTTCATTATATATTTGCTCTTAAATATAAGAGCATACCCTGTGTGTGTGTGTGTATGTATGTGTTCACATTACATAATATATAGAAATCTATTTAAAGTTATCCATATTTTCTTAACTCATCTGAAAATAGATTGGGTTGACAGGAAGTTTCATTACTGAGGAAATATTCCCCAGCTTCCATTATTTATGGCAGGTCTTTAGAAAAGATGGTTTTTTGTTTCTCTAAGCTGGAAATATGATCTAGTTAGAGGTACACCCACTGAGGCTTTTTTGTTAAGTTCAGTTTTACTACTGGTCTTAGGTTATTTGTCTCCTTTCCAATTAGTTCTCAGGTTTAGATTTATTTTCCTATTTTTAGGACCAGGTTAATACTCTCTGTTCTATTCATAAGAGTTTAGAAAAATATATAACCAAATTTTAGCAGTAAGAGAGGCACATATCTTTAGTATCTGTGCAAGAGGAAAATTCTGTATATGTCAGATTGAGCCAAACGTACTGTTCATAAATATATATGTAAACATGTATACAACTTGTATATATGTATATATAATACACATGCCTATGTAAATGTCCGCATACCTACATATGCTTACTCATTCTTCTCCTTCATTTCTCTGTAGAACGGGAGGTCTTGTGAAGGCAAGGTCTTTTTACTTTTGTAACTCATTCAGCCCCTCGTGCACTACCATGTGTATTGTCAAATTATACTTACTAGATGCTTTATTTTAAAAGAAGCCTTCTCTCTGAATGAGTGGGTGGCTAGTTCTGTAGAAAAAATGTTAGAACCCTGGTCTCCTGTGCTATGATGTGTCATTTAAATTCTCAAAACACTAGCCCTTCTAGAAGAAAGAAATAGGAACCTCCAAACTATTATTGCCCACAGAGTCTTTCAAGATTCTTCTGAAAACTCCTGAATGTTGGATCCCCATCGCAATCTCAGTGATTAAAAAAAAAAAAAAAAAAGTTGGCATTATGTACACAAGCTCATGAACTGTTCTGAACCTGTTAGTGGAATCAATTTTTATAATCTCTCATAAAACGCCTCCCTTTTAAACCCAAACCTATCAATGTGATAGCTTTTTCTCTAGAAGTGCCAGAGTGACAGCAATACTTGAATAGCTTTCTGCTAAGTCTATTTGTGATGCTAAATAGTTCCAGCATGCAGTTTCCCCAAAAGTCTTATCAAGGCAGAAAACTTCTAAATAGTTGATTGGATTATCAGGTCAGTTGGCTGATGCCCCTTGACTCTCCTGTGCATAACAAAATACATAATATATTTTAATTTTTTTACAGTCTATAATATGTTGAGTAGATCATACTTCATATTTTTGCTATTTTTTCTTTTGAAATTCTCCTTAATAAAGGCTTAAATATAGGGAAATGAAAGTTCTGTTGGACTTACAGTTCCCCTTATGAGTTCTTCACATGATTAAAGGCAAGAGTTCCAGGAAATTATATTTTGTTTATAGGTTGCAAATCTGTGTGTTCACAGTGTGTATGGGGGAAAAAAATGATACATTGAGATTCATTACCTATACTTTTTAAAAATGTATGCTGCCTACTTAAATATATTTTTGAGTTTTGATTATGTTTGCCACTGAATGAGAGGATATAAATTAAAAATGTGTGTTTTTTAGAAACAATTGCTATTTTAAAGGTGTGTCTTCTCCCCAAAGAGAAGTGGTCTAAATTTGGAAATGAGTATAATGCATTTTATTTTTCATAGTAAGGTAATAAGGTTTTAAAGAATACTTTCTTTCCAAAGATACATAGAAATATTTTAGCATGAATATTTCGTTCTTAGAAGAGGCTTGTGGATGAAAACATGTTTCTATAGAGAAAGAGCTTATGCTCATTTTAATACTACATTAATTAATAGAATGTTATGATGTGGAAACTGTCAGTCTATCTGAATGTCTGTTTACCTAGAAAAATATGGCTACACTTAAGCTTTAATTTGACTTAACCAGTTTTGGCTTCTTGCTTCTTTTTGACCAGCCCAACTCCCACTCATTCTAGGCTAGTCCAAATCATTCCTGACAGTGTCCTGCTCACTTTGGACTTAGTACTTTGGCAGAAGACCCAGACTGTAATGGAGTAACAAGTCCTGTTCTTGAGCATTAAAATGGAAGGCAGCCCAAGTTTATCCATGATTAAGTACATTGAGGTGTACCATTCTTGTGTGGGGAGGGGTGTTGGTGTTGCATCTTTGAAAAAACTTTAAGTATGAGATATCATGTGCCATAGAATTAAGGGAAGCACCGGGATTCATTCCTCAGGGTTATTTGGGAAGATTTAATAGGGCAGATACTCCTAGAACATTTCACCTCTCCCTAACGTAATAGTAGTTATTCCCAAACCCAGGCACACTGTACCCCATCTCAGGCAGCTTGAAATGTCTCCTAAGGGCTAGTGTTCTTCCATTTTTTTTTTTCCTTTATGCCTGTCTGCCAACCCAAACTGCTCTCAAGTTGGACATCTCACTAATTGAGCTGAGTAGAGCTCAAAGGAGATGCAGTTTTTCTTTTCTGTTCTTGCCCTGCCACCATCTCCAAGAAAAATTGTTTTTCTTAAGAGATTTCTCTCCCCCCACATTTGTGTCTACACATAAACTATTCTTGATCATTCCAGAGTAATACCCCTCAGGTTTGTTAATATCTTTTGAAACTTTGCTCATTTTTCTTGAGAGCTGCCAGAATCACTCATGAAAGCAATTTTCTTATACCTGTTGTCCACTCTGTATTGAATTTTACTGTGTTTTGATACTGGGTATGGCTACTCTGCAAATAGTCAAAATTA